GCTAACAAGCCAATAAAAACCCAGATGCCTAGCTCAAAAATTTGACCCTTATAGAGCTAAGCGCAAAAAGGGCCAAAAAAGGTCATTATCTTGAAAAGTGTTGATCCGACTTGAAAAAACTTGATGTCATTGGCTTTAGAATAGTGCCAAACTAGTAAATCAAGTGAAAAACCGCATGTCTGAAATGATATGTGGACGCTATAAATTAAAAACCATTGATTTGAGAAAAGTCGAAATGGCGCACGAATTACTGAGAAAAAACGACTGAAGCGATCGCCTTGAAACTTGGCAAAATGATAGCCAATAGATGGCCCTTGTGGGGAAATTTAATTGCATGTCGATCGGAGCTTTACTTGCAGAGATATACGCTTACAAAGTGGCAAATTACATGTTCGAAACGGAATAAGCTCCGTGTGAGCTCTATAACTGCCAAAGTATTGATGTCCGGGAGCTGAAATTTCACAGGCATGTAGCCATATAGTATAGCTACCTACCTGCGAAATGTCGGCTTTCTGGCATCAATTCTACCAAAGATAGAAATATAAGAAGAGTCTGAACGACTTGATGTGTAGGTAGCCTACTACCTGCATTTTTTGGAGTCTGTAGATTGGTCGATTGCAGGAATCTGGCTGGCTTGGTGCCATATAAGAGGGCTTGGAAAACCCTCTCGAATGCTGTGCCAGACATTGGCATCGAAGAATTAGAGGGGCCTGAAAATTGGAAAAGAAACTATAAGCGTGTTCTAATACCAGTGAGCAAATCCTCGTTTTCGGGACAAGTGTGCGCAGAGTGATGAGCTGTGGTTCAGGGTGTCAACTTTTTGGCCCCATTGCACACTGCAATTTTCAGACTTGTCGGATTATTAGAAATGGGCTTTTACAGGGGGTGTTTTTCGGGAAAAGTTGAAAACGACAAGGAAGGAATAGACTGCAGACTTGGAGATTCTGACCCTGAGCTAGACTAGGTGGTACCTAACTGCATGCAAAAATTCAGATTTCCAAGACAAATAGAAATGGGTGTTTGTTCGTAAGAGTTGGACTTAGACATTTAGGAAAATAGACATAGTTCTAACAACCATTCTTTCCCTCGCCCCCTCCTGCCTCCTCAACCTCTCCTCTCGCTCCACATCTTCTATCCAAGCCCGAATCCCCCTCCTTAACTCCCTCTTCGCCTTCATTCTTTCCCTCGCCTCCTCCTTGCTCAACCACTCCTCTCCCTCCACATCTTCCTCCACACTACCAATAACATTCATACTCCTCGCCCCTCGGCCCTCCTCTGTCTCCTTCTCTCCTCCCTCCTCTCTTTCTTCCCCTTATCACCTGCTTCCCTTCTCACACCCATCTTTCAAACAAACAAACAAATCTAAAATGGTAGGGTATATGCTTTTTCTTCTCTTTACCTCTAAGAAACTTGATATACCCCCCGAGCCTGGAGTTTT